GGGAGTAATTCAGTGCAGGTGTGATGTTGAGTGGTGCAAGGTGGTACAGCAGGGAATGTCCCTCTCTCCTGAGAGGGGGCAGAAGCAGAACAGATGGCAGCAACAGCAGCAGTAATGGTAGGAGCCTTCCAGTTCAGCCACTCAGGGTGTGCTGTCTGACCAAGTTGGTGTGTGGAGGTGGGTTCTCTTCGGCGTGAAACTGAGCCTGCCGTAAAGAGAGCACACGTGAGGCATGGCAACAGATAATTCCCCTGGAAAAAAACATTGTGGTACTTGTGGTAACCTAGAGAAGCCTTACTGTAGTTTCTGCCATTATTTAGTAACTGAGACGCACCATTGCTTGACAGTCCTGTTTAACTTGCAAGAAAAGTTTGGCTACAGCTAGAGCAGACTGCAAGAAGCTGTAAGTTGCTGAGATACCTGCACTTTTTTTTTCTCTGAGTGGGGAAATTGAAGTTTCTGTTAAATTTTATTACTCTCTAAAAAGAGAGCAAGTCAACAACAAGCCCTGCATGGATTAACCTACAGTATTCTCCACACCAGTACCTGTGTGGCTTAGTCTGCATCCCTGCTGCAGAGGTGTGCGGACCTGGAGGCTTTCATCTAGTGCTCATCTTCTTCTTGGGGACAATCTGTTTCCCTTATCTTCGTGGCAAGTGGCACCTGCTCATGATCTAAAACATACCACTCTGGCTTCAGATTTAGGGCCCAGTCTAGAAAATAACTCCAGCCTTTGTAGCTTGTTCAGTGCTGTGAGTCCATGCATGTTAGGGCTGCCGAGGAAGAAATGCCTGCAGATCGCATCGTCCATGTCTTGGTTCCGAATCCGAGTCAGAGCTGGGTCCAGTTTTCTTCAAAAGCTTATCCTCTGCTTAAAACAAAATCCAGGGCATTATCTGATTGTCATGCTGCCCTGCGGGTGCTCGTGTTCTCAAGCTTGGGAATTATTTTTTTGTCCTGCAGTGCATACCTGCCCTGACCTGAGGGCTGCATAGGGCTGGGCACATCAGCTGCACTTCAGCTCCTCTCCTCTGCTTCTACACGTAGGGTGAAGATTCTTGCTATCTGCTTTGGACTATAGCAAGCACTGTAACTCTTTAATCTTCACTTAGCTCCTTTATTTTGGTAGTTTACTTTGCCACTGCAAATAGGCAGCCAAGTTTCTTGAACCCAGAATGTCCTCCTTGGCATCACTCAGATTCAGAAGTTGCCCTTTGTGCATTTTTGCTCATTCTAGCGAGTGAAGATGCTCTCAATTTCATTATGGCCTGGGAGAATCTCGCATCTCAGGAAAGCTCTCCATCTGCCAATGATGGAAGTGACTGCAGATGAATTTCCTTGGTCCAGGGGAACTCAGTGGGGGCTGGCTTCAAATCTAGGGAACCTAGGTCCCTTCTTCTCCAAATGTGCCTCCAGAGAAGCAAAGTGTGCTAACACGGGCTCCATAACCCTTAGACTTTCAGCTCCAGAATGGTCAGAGAAATGCCGTCTGAGGTTTAGGAAATATGAGGTCCTTCAGGGATATATTCCCTACATGGGGCTCCTCCAGGAGATCACCTGGAGATCACTGGCTGCCACTTAAGCTTTGTGGCCCTGGAGATGCTTTGAGTGTCACAGGCTGGTGACCCAATGCAGAAAAAGCTGAGGCGCTGGTCAGAGGCATAATCTGGCCAGTCTCGGTGTTTGTCTGCATCAGTCTTTGGCCTAAGAGCATCACTAACTGAAAAAACATTCTCAATATTAGTACCTGCCACAATGCCAAGATCTCCAGCCATAGCATCACCCAGCACACAGACATGTCCAGAAGAAGACGGTGATCCTGCAACACTGTTCTCTTGGGTAGAACTTGATATTTCTTGTCCATCTTAACTAAGGCAGAGACTGTTGTGGCCAGTTCACCAAGTCAGTATGCCTGGGTCTGGTATTGCCTTGTTTACAAGCAAAGGCTCTTCCCTCATTCTGACTGAATGGACAATGTCCGTCAGTTTGAGTTGGTTGCTCCACAGGGATTGGGAAAGCGGCTGCCACTCTCTTCATAAGGTCTTGGAAGACTCTCAAATCCCCTGTTGAGAGGTTCCTGGGGTATGACTGCTTCATCCAAGTAGGGGGAGAAAATGAAAGTAGAAGGTCCCACATGTGTGAGCTTGCTCATGTAGTGGGGCATGAGCTACATGAGCCACTAGGGTTTTTCCATCTCTAAACCATGTATAATTCCTACTTCGCAAGTTCAATCCAATGTTTATGAGGCACATAGTATTTCTATGCAGTTACAAAATATTATCATCATTTAACAATGTCAAGTTCAGGCAACATCCCAAATAGTCAGTTCTTTTGGAAAACCAGAAGGGCTTCATTCAGGACTGTGCTCAGCTTGACTTTTCCAGTTTCTTTTCATCTGACAAATTCTGAGCACTCTCCCTTTCTCACGCTTGCATATACAATACAAATGGAACCAACTTCTTTCAAAAGCAGTGGCATTTTGAAAAAATAAATATGAATGTATTCTTCTGGGATTGTTACTGTAAGTGCTGCCAAAACTCATCTTTTGTATGTATGTTTGGAATACGTGTGCTGTTGGCTGTAAATTGTCTTTTATTATTCCATGGCAACTTGTCCAGGGACACACTATAAAACAAGATGTAGCATCTTCATGTGCTTGCCTGATAAAATTTATATGAAGTATAATGGAAAATAGAAGTTGTTTTGAGCTGTTTTCAAGTTCAATAAATAACTGTAATACTTGGATAAAGATGTTCTTTATTAGGTCACATGGGCCCTAATATAGAAGTTATAAGTTACCGATTTAAGACGGCTTTGGCAATTATGGGTTTCCAGGCAGACTCTTAATCATTGTGAATAGGAATATTTTCAGTCCCCCTAGTGCACGTTGGCCTTGTCACTTTTGCTACCTGGGGTGCTTGTCATCCAACTTGAGATGGTTGAGTAGAGGGGCAGACTCTGCTGGGATTCCCTTTCATGCGACATCAGGAAGCCATTGTGCGCAGCTGTCGCCACAAGTGGTGCCTTGTGTTTTAGAAAGTTATTACGCTGAGTAGAGAGTGAGGCTAAATTTATCCTGACATGCAGGATACCCTGCCTCCTCCTGTGCCCAAGTACCATTCCCCATAACCCCTGCCTGCCAGCTGGGAGGATTAATAGACTTGCAACTAACCTCCCTTCTGCCCATCACCATTTCCCACTTGTGGAAGATCCCTTTAAGAGGTGCAGAGGGATTATGGTCACTGGTTCACGCTGTCTTCTGGAAAACAATAGCTTGTGGGGCAGGGGGGAAGGTTTGATCAACGAGCATGGGGAGGAAATGTCAGTGCAAGTGTAACGGGCTGGGAAGGGTTGGGTTTCATGATGAAGACTTCTCATGAAAATCAATGTAGTCACAAGAGCATGTTGGAAGAGCTGCTCTAATAGGTGACAGCTGTGTGGCTCTGTTTCTGTCTAGGGCAAAAGGCTGCTTTGGTTTGTGTTGTGTCACTGTGAGGTGTGGGTTTTGCAAACAGGGACTGATTCGGAGAGCTGTAAGTCCTACTGAAATTATCCAGCTGCATGCCTGACCTCTCCAGAACGGCTGGGGAGCCTCTCCCTGCATTGGTTTGCATTATTTATCTCTTGGTATTTTCAAATGTTTTGATGTGGGATTGGGGAAAAAGAAAAAACAGCTGGTTGTATAACGGCAAAATACGTGGGTTTCAATTTGCCTTGTCTGTTCCCAGGCTGGGAGGAATACCTGTAGGAGTAGTTGCCGTAGAAACCAGAACGGTGGAGCTAAGTATCCCTGCTGACCCTGCAAACCTGGACTCGGAGGCCAAGGTAGGTTTGGCCATTGAACGTGCATTGGGCTGTGGGTTAAAACTGTTTTCTGCAGACACCCCCTTGCAAAGCGTGCTTGTTTTTATAGAGACATTAGCCTGTGTGTGGGACCCGCAGCTAGTCAGACTGGCCATGTGCTGTCACAGTGCAGCTGATCAATGGACTGTGCTGCTGGTTACTGTGTGCCTGCAGAGAGAAAGTCTTAGATATGGATCATCTCTGAGACTTCTTTACTAGCCCTGCTCTGAGAGGCAGAGAAGGTGTTATAGCAAAAGCACAAGATGAAGGAGCAAAATCTCATTTCCCTCTCCAGCTGCTGGGGCCACAGCCTCCTGCTTCTCATTCCATCTTCTCTTGTGCCTGCGGGCAATTGGAGACTGATGTGTTCTCACAAAGCTTCACCAAAGTCAGAGGGGCTCCAAGAAGGGCAGAGGTGTGCTTGCATGGGTTTAACTGCAGGGTCAAGGGACTGACCTTGTCAGCTCTTGGGGGCAGGGTCCTGGCTGTCCTGTGTGTTGTCCATCTTGCACATCAGTGACCCCTAATACTGGGCCTCCTATGTTTTTTCAGCCTCAAGATTTCAGATTGCAGCTTTCGTTGTAGAACTTTGTGTTCCTCTCAGTAACCAGACGTTTCGTGCTTACCATTTCTTTTCCTTCCCAACAGATAATCCAGCAGGCCGGTCAAGTGTGGTTCCCGGACTCTGCCTTTAAGACAGCCCAAGCTATCAAGGACTTTAACAGAGAGGGACTTCCTCTGATGGTCTTTGCCAACTGGCGAGGCTTCTCCGGTGGCATGAAAGGTGATTATCAAACACTCATTATGTTTGGTATCAAACCACTTTGTGGGCACATGGGACCACAGGTGGCCTGATGAGCTTAGGTTGTGATCAAAGACTTCCCTTCAGCATAACAGATACTTTCCCCCCACTCTTAATAGACCTGTGTTACAGTGGAGAGCAGTTGTTCCTTTGCCAGTCCCACGTTGCTAGGGCCCGCTTGCCACCTCCTAGCAGAGCACACTTGAGCAGATATGCTTAGACCTGTGTAGTAGGGCATGTCCGATTCATCCTCCTCTGCTGCAGTCTGCATCCAGTCTCTTCCCTAATGGAGAAGAGCTAGTGGCCTGAACCTTGAAGGCAGCTGACCCTCCTTACCCACCTTCACAGGTCTGTAACCTTTCAGGCCTACCAGTCTTCAGAATTCAGACCTATTGACACCCTAAATATAGCTGAGTAATCAGGACCTGCTTTACCATCTGGCCCTGTTGGGATACCGGTCTAATTTGGAGTGGGCTCCACTTTCACAGATTCAAACCTTGGAAAATACGCCAGATTTCAGCCAGGGTGTGGGATGCTGCAAGTGTTCCGTCTGCTATGCCAGAGGGGGAAGTGTGGTACAACTGGGTCAGGATCTGGGCAGGTCATCTGTCAGGGTACTATCAGAAAGGAATCTGAGATCTGCATTAGATAAAATAAGCCAGAGCTAGAGCCCATGACACCAGGGAGCAATGATCCCAAGTGCATGAAATGCATGGTTTGCCTGGGAAAGTCTTACACCCCACACCCCATGATTTGAAAAGAATAGAGACATTCAGTCCCATTTCCGCTAACCTTAAATGAAGCTGCTGTTGCTTTGACTGCATCTGTGTGGTTTCCCAGCATGTTCTTTTCCTGGTAGCTGGCCTTCTAAATGATGGGCAAAGCCATCTGAAGCCCATTCTAAAACTGTAGGCTGCAGGTCTCTCCTCTGAGCTGGAAAATCTTCTGAGCATCCTTCCCTTATGAGGTGTCATTGCCTTACTCTGTTTTTTGCAAGCAAATCCTAGGAGTGCACTGCTTTGGGTGCAAGGCTCTCTTACCCCTTTGTCTACTTTGCGTTTTTTTTAAATCAGTGCAGCTGTGTTTGTAGAGACCTTAGTGTAGATGTGCCGGAACCAGGGTAAGTCGTGACTGTAAACTGGTGCAGCTGATCCCAGCCTGGATACCCAGTCCTGGCAAAGCCCAAAGTAAGGTGACAGTTCTGCTTAACAGGTTGAACCACCTTTTATATGATCTAACACCTAAAACCTATAGAAAAGTTCTGAGTGTCATTCTTTTGAATTCCATGATTCCACAGCAAAAACTAAGTCCCAGTGCATATTTGCAAGCTATGACAGCACTGAAATCTTGAGAGCCTTGCTTGATTTCCATTGTCCGAGATGAGAGATTCAGAGCCTGAAAGGAGTCATGAATAGTGACAGGCCAGACTGGGTTTTAAGAATTCTGATCTTTTTAACAGTGTTAAATTGTAGTCACATAACCAGAGGAATCTTTGTTTGTAGTACATGCCTTCCGAGCTGATTCTGTCCCCAGTAACAGCTCTGCCTCTACTTCCCTGTGCTGAAATGTTTGTCTGATAGTTGAAACAAATCCAGTTAAATCCATGCACCTCCCTAGCAGGAATGCTCTGTGCAGCTCTGCCTTCAGCCTGTGGGAGGAAGAGAACATTTCACTCGGCAGTAACTCCTGCCATGATGGTGTGGGGCTGATAGGAGCAAATGAAGCCCCGTCTAGCCTTTCATAGGCAGATGGGCGGCAGCAGGAATAACACAGAACATGCAATGTGCAACTTGTAAGATAAGTTCTGTTCAGCATAAACAACACGGCATTATTTTATGCCTTCCCCTCCTAACAGTTATAGGGACTGCCCCGATCAGCTCCAGTGAAAACAGGTAATTGGATTTTAACAGTGGTTTAGCTGCTAACAAAATTTACAGCTGCCAACCTGGGACAATTAAACCCTAATCTTGGGAAACCCCGACCGCTTAGGGAGCCATACATCCCTCTTCCTCACAGCTTAGGTAGGGGGCCGGGTTGGCCAGCTGTATTGCATATGGAAATGGATAGGTGTATTCATCACATAGCTGCTTTGTCTCATTGATAATTTCTGCGTGTATTATTGTCATATCAGGTGTTTTCTCCAAATTGACTCTTGGCAACAGTGGTGGCTCAGATGAATTGAGCTGTTGAAAAGCTGCTCAGTTCATAAACCCACAGCTAGGCTTTGGGACCAGATATTGCGATTTTGGATTTTGTGGAGTGACATGAGTGGGAGATTGATATGATAACATTTTAACTATGTAAAAAGATTTAAGGCCCTTTACTTGTATGTGGCACTTAACAGGCACCCAGAAGAAAAGGTTATAGCTGTAGTTATCACAGTAAGAAGTTCTTACCCGAGGACAGGGGCGGGGGCGGGCAATTATTTTGGACGGAGGGCCACATACTGAGTTTTGGCAAGCCATCGAGGGCTGCATGACAGGCAGCCAGGAGCAGATGAATATTAATTTTCTAAATTTTTTAGGAGCTCTGTGAGCCAGATAGAATGGGCTGGTAGGCCGCATCTGGCCCGTGGGCCGCATTTTGCACACCCGTGCCCTAGGACAACTGGCATTTAGGAGAAGTGCTGTGTTGCAATGACTGGGTTTTTAGCATGGCAGAAAGGAACAGTCTTGGTTGCGGGATACTCCAATACCATGGTTGAGGCTGAATGGAGGTGTTTTTTCAAGGACAAAATACAATCTGTCGGCATTCTAAAGACCCGAGTGCTCATCCTAGCTCAGCCAGGGACTGAGAGAGACCTTCAGTTCTCTGCGCCTCATCTGCCTTACCCCCCAGTTCAGGAATGCGCTGAGAGATTTTCATTCGTTAATGCTTGCAAAGGGCACTGAGATCCTCTGATGGAAGAAGCTGTAGAATTAAAAAGACTTGTTAGATGATTAGTGCAATTGTGTGAGCTTCCTTCAGTCTTCGAGTGGCCCTCAGCTGCGCTCCGAGCAACATTTTGCTTTGGAACCAGAACCACAGGGCAGAGCCATGTAGCAAAAGTATCGGTATTTCCATTTGCGCATCACTTGTTAATACTGCTTGGAGGAAGAAAAGAGAGCAGTGCAGGAAGGGAGGGAGGGAGGACAGCGCCATTTTGAATTACATGTGGGTCAGGATGTTTTCCACGTGTGCAGACCTGGGTCAGAAAGTGTTGGTCTCTCCAGTTGGTCTCCACCATCCTTGGGGAGTTGTTTGCAGTTTGGCTTTCAATGCTGGCTGGGGATTATGCCGGGAGGGAAAATAAACAATTATGCCACCCCTCAGTGCACACAAACACACTGCCAGGAGCCGACTGCACTGTGGGTAAAATGACTCCAAAATTGTGTGTAATGAGTAGGAAAAGATTAGAGACAGCTCTTGCTATGCTGAAAATTGACATTAGTGGGGGGGGGGACCCTCTTTACTAGTCAGCCTAGGAGGTCTAATTCACACAGTAACATAAATAAATAAAATAAATAAAATAAAAGCATATCACGACGGCATTGGTGGCTTCCCCCAATGAGCTGGATGTGGCCGGAAGGCTATTCAGCATAATGCAAAATTAAATTATAAAAACGGGCTCGAATATTTAGATGGAGGAGCCATTTGGAAGCAGTTTATTTAGACGAACCGGCAATGACCCACGACAGCGAGACATCAAGCGTGAAATTTACTAGAAATTAGCACCAGGGTCTCAGACTCAGCATGAATAGTTTGATAGGATGCAAATCCCAGTGATATTAAACTGCATCACTGCTGGTGCTCCAGGGTCACTCTCAGTTGGTTTTTCATGTTATACTTATTATTTTTTCCTGGGACAGGTTATAAATAACAATAAAAAAAAAAAAATCGTATTGAAAACTTTAACCAGAATGAAAAGGCTGTTTTAAATCTCTCATTACCTGGATGTTGAATTACAGCACTGCCTGTGTGTAATGGGTTTATGAGGTACATTAGGTGTATGCGGCCGATATGCGCCTGGCTTTTTACCTTGAGGTCCTATCTGATAAGCCCGCCAAGCTGACGAGATCTGTTCCAGCTTTGGAGGTGCAGGGCAGAGCGCTCGGCGCTATGGAAACATTAAAAAGCTGTCCGCAGCCTTCCTAGCATGCCTGATGTATCCGGCTGCCAATATTTACACATACAGCATAATAACAGCTTCCAGCAGATTTCGAGCCTGCAGTCAGTAGATGCCGATACAGGCTGCAGCGAAACACCCGGACATAGAATGAGTGTGGGTTACATGCACTGACTGCTGCACTGAATGACAAACAGTGCTGCTCTTCCAAAGGGCCATTAAGCATTTCTGCATTTCAGATAGATGCTTTGCAAATCCCAGGTTTGAATGAAGATTGGATAGAAGTTTGACCTGCAAGTTCCCATCTGGTTTTAATTTTTCTTCCAATTGGCTGGGCTCTTTTGTTAAAATGTATTTACAAATACCCAAAAGGCAGTTTTAGAAAAGCAAACCTCGCTTGCAAGTTCAGTGGGCTTACATGTGTGGCCAGCAGAAGTCGCAGTGTTTTGAAAAGCATGGTTATGCAAGCAGTTAGTTCCTTGAAGGTGACGAGTCTCCAGTAGTTTTATAGAACATACTGAGCACATCTACATGAGACGTTTACTGAGGAGTTGTCTAATTAGCTCTGCAGTAAAGTCTCGGCATCTACTCATGAGGTCCTATTAGGCTGCAGTAAACTAATAAATGCCTCCGTAGGTTAGTACTTGTAAACACAAGTACTATCCTGCGGCAGTGTTATTTAGTGCGCAGCACTGCACGTGTAGACACTGCTGGGGCTTGCTGGGGCACAAGGGTGCTTCAGTGCAGGGGCTGCTGGCTAGCCCCGCACTGAAGCACCCGCTTGCCACAGCCAGGCCCTCTGCAACACATTGAGCCAAATTGGAGCAGCCATGGCCCAGCACCCCTTGTTAGTTGGGGCTGCTTTGACCTGGCTCAACTTGCTGTGGACCCGGGCACATGTGTAAATGCAGCACCAGGGAGTAATAAGCTCCAGTGCAAACTGTGCTAGAGTTTATTCAGTTGTATTAATAGCATGTGCAGATGTGCCCATTCAGTTTGTTGCAGAAGCTTCTGTCCACAGAAGCAGTAGGACTGCACACACAAGAGAACAGTAGGCACCACTGAACGCAGATGCCGTTCACCACCAGCAGCAGTTAAATCTGATGTAGTATTTACAATTCTAGAAATAGGAGTAGGTGCAACCTCTACAACAGAAGTAATCATCACAGCATGACAAATCTTTCATAGTCGAGGACAGTATTAACTCAATTCAGGGAGGGCCTGTTTTCTAGTCATTACCTTGGCATACTAGGAGTCAGGACTCCTGGGTCCTCTTCACAGCATTTCATATGGCTTTTAACAATTCTGCCAGCCCTCTTATACCATCAGGAAACTAGATAGTGTAACGATAGCCATTTTGCCAAGGCATTGCCAGGCTTGCTTAACTGTGTTTGCAAAGAGCTTTGAGATCCTGCGGACTTGTAGAAGTGCCAAGTGTTAAAGATGTCTTGTAGCCTTTTTTTTAAGTGCCATTGTCAATTAAGGCAGTTTCCCTTGCTTCGATGAAACCTGCCATAACAAAACTTTCATTGAATTCATTTGGCCTATGCAGTGCATCGCAGCGTTTCTGCTGTAGAGCTGGAAGGCTGGAACCAGCACTTCTTCAGATGAGTCCTAAGAAACACCGTTAACAGCGACACTAGTCAGCGCACTACAGCGCACTTGTTCCTTTAGCCTCTCCTCCATCTCCCCAGTCTGAGTGAGTAGCATTCCCCCCACCACCTTTTTTCTAAGTAAAATATACACTCCTGGCAGGAGTGAAAAATGTCCCCCTAATTACACCATGATTTTATTATGTAGCACTAGTAAAAAATGTCTAGTAAAGAATTAATTCTGTTAAAATAATTTGAATCAAGCAATTATTTTCTTAACACTAGAATTAGCTGAAAGTACTTCAAGTGGTTTATTACTCACACTACATAATAAAATAATTATGTAATTAGTAATAAATTTGTCACTCCTTTTCAGGTCTTTTTTTTTTTTGCTCAGGACAAACGAGGAGGTTGGGGTTTTGTTTCCCTCCCTCTCTATTAGCAGTTCGTATATATTCTCACAGGTCTGGGATTAAAAAAATAGATAATTCTGGCTTCCTACAGTGTCTGGGACTTTTTAAAGGCTTTTAAACCATTTTTTTCCTGTATATTCAGAGAATGAACTGTGTATAAGATTTTCTTGTGCACAGAGGGAAAAGGGGACCCGACGGCCAGAGCCGAGGGTGGGAGCCTGAAAAGAGTATTTGAGAGAGGCATGGGTTCAATTCTTTACTTCGCTGTGTGTTTCCTATGTGACCCAAGACAAGACGCTGCATCTCTCTGTGCCTCTGTTCCCCATCTATCAAATGGTGTACCCCCATATCTCTCTGGCAGAGGGTTACGGTAAAAGCCACTGGGGCTGTTAGATGCTGTGGCATGAGGACCAAATAAGCAGCCAAGAGAGATGAGTGGAAGTAATTGGATCCGAGTTGTGCTAGAGGCTGGCATGATTTCTGGCAAGCATGCGCAAAGGCAGTGTGTCATGGAGCAGGGAGGTAGACTCTCTGTTTGCTACGTGCCTGGGATATTAGTGATTTTTGGTCCAGTGCTGGAAAATTTGAGAAAAGAGAAGGTGGAAAGAGGAGCAACAAAAATGACCAAGGAGCTCAAAGGGGCTGTGTTAGGAGAAACAGTCTAAAAGGCCAATGCTGGTAGTTAAAAGTCTACAACTGTGCAGTGGCTCCAAGTCCTGAGGCACAGAGCAGCTGTGTGGAGCTGATCAGCTGAATACTGGGGAACCGTATCAGCTCGACTGTTGGAGCAGTCTCCCTCCAGAAGTGGTGAAAGCCTAGTTGTTCTCTAAACATGGTGTAAAGCTTTATGAAGCCCTGAAAAATATAGTGCGGCAAATAATCCTGTGCTGACAGAGAGATGGAATGGACATTCCCAATAGGTGTTTTGTATCGCTAAGCTGTTTGATTTGATGATTCTTTATATAATCATGTGTATAATGAGATTTGTACCCAGTGCAGCCTGACTGTTTCAATGCTAAACTCCTGCCGTCTCATATTTGTCATTTTGTTCCTAAAAAGTTTAAAAAAAAAAAAAAAAATTTGGAGCTGACCTTTTTTCTGTGCACAGCCTTTGCCTGGTGAAATTATTCTTGGAAGTCTGAGCAAAATCCCTTCCGCTAGTGTCTGTTTAAAGAAAAGGAGGAAACATTTTTTGTTGGGAGGGGGCAGGAAAAAAATGAACCCTACCCTCCTTATAGTGATGTGCAAAAGATTTCCTGTCCTTCAGGGTACCACACACAAGTGCAAGCACTTTAGGATAGTATGGAAATGAAAGTATGGGGCCAGGCTTTTCAGATTGGAGCTCTACAATTTGAATTCACATTCGCATACTGAATTTCTGGCCTGGATTTCAGAATTGCTGAAATCCCTGCAACATCCACTGCCCAGGTCGGCCAGCTGGAGGCTGTTAGTGCAGGGTGGGCACCTGTTGAGCTGATCTGGATGCCCTTGGGTTGGACCAAACAGGAGCCAGGGACTGGAGCTACTGACCCTGGGCACAGAAGCGTTGTTATTAAACGGTCCTGCCTAGACCAGGCATTTCCTGGGAGGTCCTGGAAGTGCTTGTAAGGCGTGGGAAGGCAGGGGACTTGGGAATGCAGCAGCAGGGAAGGTAATGTGCTGTATTCTTTGTCCTAGACATGTATGACCAGATACTGAAGTTCGGTGCCTACATCGTGGACGGCCTGCGGGAATACAGGCAGCCAGTGATTGTTTACATCCCACCCCAGGCAGAGCTGAGAGGAGGATCCTGGGTGGTGATCGACCCCACCATTAACCCTCGACACATGGAGATGTATGCAGACCGGGACAGCAGGTATGGCACCTCGGTGATCTAGTTCCTTCTCTGATGCGTCCTGCTCCCAGACAGGAGGGAGCTCCAGGCTGGGTGCACTGTTGTTTTGTTGTTGTGCCTTTACAAATGAATGGGTTTCTTTCCATGCATTTGCTTGGAGAAGGAGCTGTTATGTAGTGGTAACACCAGGAGTTGGGTTCTTTCTCCAGCTACTGGCTCCATGGGTAACTTGGATCATAGGCCTAAACTTCTCTGGATCAACTCCCCAAGGGGCTGGGAGGTTTGGTTGGTAAAGCCTGTTGGGATCCTGGCACACAGACCTCTTCTTTTTCTGGTTATTGCACTTAAATAACTGGAGATGCAACTTTCCAAGCACAAGTAACTATGACTGCATTTTACACTGCTTAAATATCTTACCAGCTGACCTGCAGGCATTTGTAGAGTTCCTGATCACTATAAAATACAGCCGGCAAAAATGAGCTTGCGGTGGGGGTGGTTTCTGGGAACAAAAATATAGGCAAACCAGGGGAAAAATAAGGCCTGTAAGTCTCTTAAAATAGAAGAAAGATGGGGCTGATCTGGGATGGACATAAGAGACCTGGTCTGGCAACAACTGATAGAAATGGGATAAACTGCAAGAGCAGGACACCCCCTGATCAGAGCCATTCGGCATGGAGCAGTCAAGGGAAGGAGGACGGAGGTGCAGTTCTGTTGCAGAAAGAAAGAGCAAAGCAGCTGTGATGCCGGAGAGAACCTCACCACAATAGAGTTCTGTTTCTAGTCTATTTGATCCGGTCAGCCATGTGATATGAAAATACCCAGGCAGATGGGAAAACAGACTTGTGTCTGAAGGTAAAAGTAACATTATTATACCGGTCTTGCCCCCAGAGCAGCCTTCCACATGTGAGTCTCTTTGTATTCTGCTCACACTAGTGGGCACAGCTGACATGCACCTTGCAGCTCTCTTCCTGTCTCTGGTACGAGCTACAAGCTCCTGATTCCCTGTTAAAGATGGGCAAGCACCAGAAAATCTGCCCTCCTTGCTCTTCGCAAGCTAAACCGTTCCACTGACACCCAAGAGCCACTTCTCCCCAGGTTAGTTATGTATCAAAATAGAGTGGTGCAAGTTTAATATCTCTTTTGAAGTCCCTGGAGAAACGCTCCTGGGAAGTGCCACCATTTTGAAGCATTGCCCAGGAATTTTGCCACTGCAAGATGATGGGAGTTGAGACTGCACATGTAGGACACCTTTAAGGGGCTCATTCGAGTGCTTCTCTGTACCTCTTCCCATGGGCATATGCCAACAGTGATACATTGACCCCTACCAAGAATTGTTGTGACCTGTGCATGTGTTCACCTCCCCTCGAAGAATGGCTGTGTCTCTTGGTCTCTTGTCCTCTTGTACCTGGAGAAGTGGAATGGCCCCAAAGGAGAAACCTTTGCCTGTTGGACACAGACTTGGCCCATGCATCTAGAGCCAGAACAGTGACATTCAGAACTGAGGCAACCTGTCTCTTTCTTGTGTTCCCTCCTTAAAACATAGAAAGGTTTGGGTGCTTGGGTCACCGAGAGTACTTGTTAAACAGAACAACCAGCTTTCCTGCCCTTTGGCTCAGTCAGATTTGCTCCTAGAGTAAAGAGGACCAGCAGCACCAGGCCATAGCTCACATAAGGATAAACCTTCCCTCACTAGTGTCCTGAGGCATTACTTAATTATTGCGGCCACACGATGAAAGGGGCCATAGAATAACAATATGCTGACAATCCTTTGGATGATGATTTAAGCCCTTGGTAGATGTGAACTTACCGCGTTTCATAGATTCATAGATTAAGGGTCGGAAGGGACCTAGTAGATCTTCGAGCCCGACCCCCCGCCAGGGCGGGAGAACAACAAAAAACCCCAAAAAGAGAAACGGGACTCAAATGAGTCCAGCCAGGTAGGCATCCAGCCTCTTCTTAAAGACCCCCAGGGTAGGGGCCAGCACCACTTCCCTTGGAAGTTGGTTCCAGCTCCTAGCCGCCCTAAC